GCAAAGGTAAAAGGCTCTGAGCAAGTTTTTAAAATGCCAGTCAGATCAAATTATTGCAATACAATACAAAACCTGTACAAAATCCTGGAGTCTTACATGCATGATTAAATACGCTCAGTTGATTATAAAACATTGCCTCAGTATGGAAAACGACGTTAGATTCTTCTCTCGCACAGTGTGAGCAAGAGCTGCTGAATAAGGAAAAAGTTAAAAGTTATGTGGACAGAATACGTTTGGCCACTGAACTGTGCAACAATTTAACTTCTTTCACTTAGAAAGTGTTGCTGGTCATCATTATAAATAATAGAGTATGCACAGGCGTGTAGAGGACAAGAAATAGAAGCATTCAGCTAGAGTTGACAGCTAATTCTAGACTCCTGGTGATTAGATTCTGCACATACAGTAGCATGGATGAGTTTTCTTGACCTTGTGACTTTTTATTGCAAGAAGAACAAAAGCTTGAGCCTTGGGACCATAAATTATTGAATTGTGTTCATGCTGCTGGTTGGAGAGCAGCAAGGACTTGTGACTAGACAAAAGCGGGTGGGCTGGAATATTACGAGATGGAAAGGGATCAAGGAGAAATAGCCTGCTGTTGTGCAGAAAACAGATGCTAACACCATTTGGCACAAACAGTTATTTGTACTGGCAGCCACAGCAAATCCATTATGGTTGGAGCTATAACCAGGTGGCAGCAAGCAAGGCAGTTCTGTACGGATGCTAGAGTAATAAGGAGCAAAAATGAATGTAAGGATGTAGAGAGTGCTGAGATGCTATAGCAAATACTTTAATGGAGCAATGACAGCTTCATAATGCTCTGTTTTGCCTTCTGATTTCTAAAAGTTACTCTGTGTATGTGCATATATGGGAAAGTGTTGGCTAATACAAAGCAAGTTTTATGTTGGGCTGGAAACAAGATCCCAGACACACAAATGTCAGAACAACAAACATCGACATTCCTGATGTTTGGGTTTTTTTAAGCTATAATAATACATTGAGAATGATACAGCTCTGTCCCAGCTGGGATACATTTACACTGGGTTAACTAAGAACAATTCCTCCATTTTCAAATGGGGAGGTTTGCTGTAATTCACATGTGTGACCCATGCTGTCCACTCTCAGCATCATGCAAACTTCTTGGTCAGCTTATTACCTACCCAACAGTGGTTTGTCCGCAGCTGGAGCTCAGGAACTTTCCAGTAACCTTCTCCCCATGCTGGCTGGTAGCTCACCAGGACACAGGGAGAAAGGCAGTACCACAAAACGTACTGGGACACATACCCCTTCTGACATTACTGCAATTCAGAGCAAGCGCCACTGGTAGTGAAGAGTCCGCCCTGTTTTTTTGCTGAGCAGCTGCCACTACAGATTCCTTTAAGTTTATACATAGAACTTTGTTTGCACTGGACATCATCTCCATCATACAACCAGCGCATGAAATTTTACTATATTTAAAACTCATTTATGGAATATTGTATAAATTAATTTTATCTTCTAGGACAACAAATGTTTTTCCCTATAAAAAATACAATGCTTATTATACTCTGTGAAGTATAAATACATATATTTCCATGAAAAAAAGTCCTAGAGCATTAGGATAGCAAAGATGAACATATGCACCATAGGTTCATCTGTACTTTCGAAAATGCTTTCGTTTGGGAATGCCAATTTATCCGTAGTTTATTGTATTTCAACCTTCAGAAGGTCACAGGATTTAACTCTTCTACCCCTGCCAATGTCAGTTGGCTCATGATACATATTCATATTTGTTTTATGACCCAGACCAGCTGGTGGGTTTTATATACCGTAAGAATGAGAAATCTGACAAGAACAAGTGATTCATCTTCATAATCTGAGTAGAGGCTGGAACCTTCAGTAGAATCTTAAAACTATTCATTTATTTGTTCAGGGTGCTGGGCTTGCTTTCTTTCTTTATTACCACTGATTGGATGCAATCTTAAACATTGAGTACTTTTGGTAAGAGGGATTTATTTGATAATTGAAAAAAGCTTTCCTGGCAGGTAGCTTGCTGGGCTTTCTCAATTTGATACATGCTTATGTTCTGCCACAATGGCAGAAGGGAGGAGCTACTAATGTGCTCATTTGCTTTCAATTGTTTACACTTTCAGCTGAAATCATTAAGAGGGACCTGAAGGGGAAATGATGTACAAAAAGGGATATAATTAATTTTGGTGCAATGCTGTCATCTGCACCCAAACATCACCTAGCACAAAGTCAGGAGCTGTTGCTTCCACAGTGATCAGAAAAATGAGGTAGGTGAGGAGGTGTTCTATGGCAGAGGAAGGCACATGGCTGCTGAGGTTAAAATACTGCTCTGTGTTTATGCCTTATGCTGGATAAACCATGTATCCCATTAGGTCACAAGTTGTCATTGCTGGCAGCACTGTACAGACTTTTTTTCTAATGATGTGTGCAGCGATATCTAAAGGGACAAGGACCTGGAATATATTGGAGGAGAGGGGGACAGAATAGGTGTTAAGACAGTTCCTACAAATTCAATAAATTAACCCACTTCAGATGTCCCTTTTGGCAGACCTTTTGTGTTTTGTTCTGGTTTGGAAGGTGGAGCTAAGCTCCCAGCTCCCCAGGACACTGTCTCCGAGATACAGAAAATTCCTGCCCATCAGCAAATCTGAAAGCTAACAGCAGACTACAGTAGTTAGTGTACATCAGAGGAGCTGTACTGATTTGTGCAGTAGGTACCTATAGCATAGCAACCTATATACAAGCCATGTAAGACTCCCAGAGAAAGTCAGCCAGGAGATTGATTGAGAGATGCCCAAGCCTTCCCCATGAGTAGGGAAGCATAGGAACCAAAAGCAGAGTACCTGCAGGAGCACTGCCTGGCTGGCTGTGTTAGCACGGGAAAACATTGTGCCAGGGTAGCCAAGCTCCTTCTGGCATCCAATTCCACTTTTCAAAAGGGAATTATCCTACAAGGCTGCACTTTCCATCACACAGGCCGAGGTGAAACAGCCGCTATTTCAGAACAAAGGTGCAGGCAGGGAGTTGTTTTTGCTGCAGTTATCTGCACATGCTATTAATACTACAGGTTGGGTTTTACCATTCGCTTAGGGCAGGAACCTAACTGATTCACACTGCCTGGGTGCTGCAGGGGCCCTTGTAACTCCAAAAATTGCCCTTTACCACACTCCTGTGTGGCTATAACATCACCTAAGACCCCAGAGCATTGCCCTCTATTTCAGTAAATAACAAGCCATAGGCTGCACTTCTCCAAACACAAAACCTTCCCCATGCCAACAGAAGATGCTACGAAATGCTGAAGAACCTTAAAAGCTGAATAACGTGCCAGAGAAGCAAAGTGACTTTGCTGTGACAAACACGTACATCTGCTGTGAGAAGGTTATTCAGCATCCTGAAGTTCAAAATAACTTGCTTGCAAGTTCTCTAAGTCCAATTCACTGAGAGCATCAAGCATCGACCCAAAACAAAAGAATAAGAACTGAAATGGTAGAGAAAGAATAATCTCTGGCATTCTTCTCCAATACAGCCTATATGTGGTAAGGATTTTGCTTAAAGATTTGTTCTTTACTGCAACTTCTGTGACATTCTGAATTATGGCACAATAGAAAAATCAATTAAAATGACTACTGAATAGCTCTTTATCTGCTACCAAATCACCTTCCTCCAGAAGAGATAATATTTATACAGTGTATTATACATGAATTAGCCCTGCTGTTCTAAATAAATGGGTAAGATTGGAGATATTTCAGCCTGCAGCTTCAGAAGGGTGAGCGCACAAACCATGGGGTTTATGTAAGCACAAAATAACAAATATGTAGCATTACTATAAAACCTAATCTTTTAAGAGTTTTGGTTCCCCCCTTGCCCTGTGATTTCTGATCTTTGTCATGAATGACATTAACCAACATTCCTTTTCTGTCAGTCACCCCTCTCACATACAAGCGGAGAAGTATACTGCTTATCCCTCCGTTCTCAGTCACGCAGCATTCAACACCTCTCACTGGAAGAACAGTAGTGTGTGTGGACAAATAGACAACAATAGATCAAAGTTTTAAAGCACAGGGAAATTACAGCACACTTGAATTTCTGGGAAGCTTAGATACAGTTTCATAGTTGATGGTTGTCTTGTATTTCTCACTTGACCACAGAGACACCACAGCTCTAGTAATTGGGCTCCTGGTGTGCTGAAACTACCACTTAGCCCCAAACATCAAAGCTGATTGCTTTCTTATTTGCTCCATCTCATATATTTACTTTCTCTTTCCTTATTCTTTGGCTGCAAGTGCTCTGATATCTTTTAATCCATTTTTTACACTATGTTTACTATACTAGGGCTATAGTCCATAACCGACTCCTAAGCGCTCCTGCAGCAGCTCAGATAAAAAGAGAAACAAAAACTTCTGAGCTCTCAGAATGCTTGAATCCCAACCAAACCTTGAAACCTGCACTTTTCTTCACTCTTATAAAGTATTCAGTAAGATTCAAGTAACCTCAGCAGACTTACCTGAAACTAAATTTCTCTTTGAAGTAATATGGTGAAGAATATGAAAATAATAACCAAAATATTTTGATCAAACAAAAATGTGAAGAAAACATGAAAGGTACAGTGGGAAAAAGTAGCACCTCTACATACAGCAAATCATATAGAAGACCTCTTTAGATTTGGCTAAGAATACAACCCTCTGAAACTTGTCACACATAACATCTTAGGCTATATTAAAGCCTTTACTAAACAGAACCTTCCTCTACTGACACAAAGGAATTCATACTGGGTATGACAAATCGTAGATCAGAGTTCCATGAGGCTGTTAGGAAAAAAAAAATCTGAAAGAAAATATGCTCAGTTTATCACCTGACTTTGTCTCCAAAACATACCATGACATTTGATAGTCACTTAACAGAGCCAAACTCTGAGTTTTCTTTTAATTTTAATGATTTATTTTTTTAATACATCAGTGTTGTCTCATTTTAATTTTCAAACAAAAAAACAGTACCTTCAAAGTCCCCATCTCTGGCTTTTGCTGCAAGTTCTGAGGATGATATAGTTTCTTGACATAAAGCACAGTCTTCCAGTGCTGCGTTCCTTAAACCCTGATTAACTGAAAAACAAACCCAAAAGTACTGTAATTTTTCCAATTTGCAACCGAAATACCCATGTTAAGACTTCTGGGATTACAGTGGCATCTATATGTACCCTCTTACATGTGCTTTTTCTTTACCCTGACGCAAACCATGATTTAAGTGTCTCCTCTCCCTCCTTGGAAGGGCAACAGAAATGAAAGATGCTGTTAGTACAGAACATACAGTCCTCTTACTTCTCTCCTGTATTTTATTTCCCAGTTCTTAACTTGGATCCTTTACAAAAGAAGTAGATTGTAAGAACCAGAGATTCTTTAGGTGAACCACACATATCAAATCACATATATCAAAGAGAAATTTCTTCCCCGAAGTCCCTGACTTTCACTCACTCATTTTGTTTGTGTTTACTGTTGTCAACGCTTCTTTTTAATGTAATAGTTCATCCATCAGAAATTATTCCAAATAGGTACTGTTGACTAATATATTTCCTACTGATAATTTTTTACAGCTTCAGTTTCTTTATTACGCTTATTGGAATGTTCAGGAGCTCTTTTGTTCTTCACCTCAGCAATTCTGTCTAACCCCATTTTTTCTTGCCAATAAAAAAAGACCATTTTCTCTTCTCATTGTGACGTCCTGCCACCATAAAAATGTTGTGGAAGTTTCAACCACAAATAGTAAAGGACTGTAATACATGTTGTGGATTATCCTACTGCAGAGTTGGCTTGGACTGGAGGTTTTCCCCAGTAAATTTAACTAAATTTTAACTCAGTTTCACATAAAATCGTCAGTGGTTTTACATGAAACTGGGAGAATGGGGAAATTAAAAGTTTTCAGTCACATGGAAAGAGAGGGAAAAACTATCTTTGATAACCTTCATATGCTGATAGTTCTAATCATAATGAAGGACAAAGGTAATTGCAGTCTTTATGGGATGACATGGTTATTTTTAGATAAGTTAGCAGACTTGCCTCTTTGAAAAACAAATAATCAAAATGGTGACAGAAAAAAATTTCTTGCATTGGCTCACGATATAGTTCTAGTTCTGTTATCTTAACTACCTAGGATTCAAAAGTGGATATTTTTCTATTTTGAAGCTGAAGCCAAATTCAGCATTCTGCAATTTCTACAAGACAGGATAGATATCAGCATCTTGCTGAGTATTCTCTTTTTACGTAGCTATTTAAGCTTCAGAATCAAAGATACATCTTGGTAAATTAAAATGTGTCCAGTGTGAAACAATACTGGGGAGAAAAAAATATTATCTATGGACCCCAAAGCCTGCATACATAATGTTACGACTACAGGGGTGACAAGACTCTTCTGTTATACACAGGAATATGGAAATGAACAAACGTAGTCTGAAGGCTTTAACTCTTTCAACATTTTCCTCAAGACATACTCCTGTGTACCTACACTTCCAGTGGCTTCAACCTGTTTAAGTTGCTGTGACCTTCAAGTCTGGTTCCATGATTTTTTTTTTTTTTTTAAAACTTAGGTCAAGTCACCATCTAATAAGCTCTGTCAAAAAGTTAAGAAAATGTTAAGGGAAACCCCCTTGGATCCCCATGGGGCTACCAGCAGAAATTCACTATAGAAAACAAATGTTTAAGCCTCTTTACCTTTCTTTTGCTTTTCCTTGTCTTCTGTTTCAGGTTTGGTTGCCATAACTTCAAACAAGGTCTTTAAGATACTTCTCAGATCACTAGCATAGTTTGTCTGCAGCTGGTCAGCAACACCTACAAGTTTGAGAAAATGGGTAAGCCATTACTAGACTATTACACCACCCTTAAAGAAAGTATTTAAATTTGTCTGTTCCTATCAGTAACAGCCTCATATTTATTTTTGAGGTGATCATCTGTTTATGTTAGGAATAAAAATGTAACATTTCATAATTGATCTAATTTTCCATAACAGCCAAGTTAGATTCTGGCCTTTAGGCTACCTACAGTGTGATGCGTATCTTTGTTGTCCTTTGGGAAAAACACGAAGAGATTCCTTTTGCATCAAAACACAACTGTTGCATCAAATTTCTTCCTTGGAGACACAGGGCAGCACACCAAGAAAAAAGGAAGCACTTTTCAGTCAAACCTGTTGCTTGCCTGAACTCTTCATTACTACAGGCCTAAGAAGTCTGCATCTCTGATTCTGTAAGCTGGTCTCCATCAGGTAACATGTCTTTCTACACCAGCCTGCAACTTAGGCACCAAAACAGTCTTCCTGCGCCTTCATCTCCAGCCTACCCTACCATAACTTTATGTGCACCAAAAAAACCAAAGGGTTGAATAGTTTTGCATTCAGAACAATAAGATACTGTCATACCTGAGATACAGACAAAAAGGCGGTGAATAAGATCATTACTGCCATGAAATCTCGATCTGATCTTTTCTCGGGTAGCAATTTTAGCAGCCTGCAAAGCGAGCTGGATTTCTTCCTGATCGATGTCATCAGATGAACAAGAACTTGTCATTAAACTACTGTCAGAGAAAAAAATAAGATGTAAAGAAAAGTAAAGTAAATCTTCGCTCAGTTGTTTAGGATGTTGAGCGAATCCTTAAGGATTTACAACTCAGGGACGACTATAACAAACCAGAACTAATTGCTGTAAATTCTTTAAGTTAATCAAGATGCAATCAGTCACCAGCATGTTTGATTTTCACTCTCTGGCACTGCTGCAAAAAACTTTTAAGCAGAAAATAATTGTCCTGTATTTTATTGCATTTTCCTCAGCTATTACAAGTGCTGTGCCATTTTTCACATTAACTCCTAAATGCTCAGTCTTGAGACCATAATTCCACCAAAAAATCCAAGAGTGGAATATCAACCTAAAAATGAGAAGGTCAGTTCTGAAGTAAATTTAGAAATTTATTAATGTGGAAGTTAACTTGAAATAGTGAGAATATAATCTAAATATAACCTTACGTATAAAAGATGGAAAGAAGGGTTATAAAATACAAGTTACACCGTAGAGAGGTAGATTAGTTCCCTTATATACCTAACTCCAGGAGTTGCTGAAATGTCCAACTATTGTAACAGAATGGCTCTTTCATTCCAAAGAGATTAAAATGTGTCATCAAATGTCTACTAGAGATTTAAGTTTTCTTTTTAAAAAAACAGATGCACAGTTGCCAACCATTTTCCACCCCTCTTATGGAGAGGAAGCTTGAAACAACTTGAGACTGCAAAGAAACTTCGGTGGGAATTCAGCTTCTTCAAATATCAGGAATTGAATAAACTACTTGTAAATCAAGATGTATTTTTTGTAAAGGAAGTACTTGGGGAAAAATAACAATTTGCCAATGGAAAAACCCTTAATTGGGAGTAAAGCACAGAATGTAATTACACTGAAGTCCTAAGATTTTGTTGTGTTGACCGAAGGAGATATGTCTTCATACTCTACTACATTCAGAGACAGAGGAACACAAAACCATTTCCCCCACATATTGGAAGTAAATTACTCTCTCCAGTAATTACAAAAAGAATATTATTTTACTCATAATCATACTTTGTCTGTCCAAAACTCAAGCAATCCCTACTACACAGACGACTACTATGTTAAAAAAGTTATTGACTGCATAAATGACATACATAATGAAAGAATTAGTTTCTAACATATCCCAAGTTCAATCTGCTTTTATTAGGTGCTGAAACATTCCCCACCTTGCAAATCCCATCCCTGTGGCAGCATGCATGAACAGTCATTGCAGGATAACACACATACACAACATTTACAATTATTTATAACAAAATTTTATGGGATATAGTTTTGAAATTCTACCTTTAGACTATATAGGTAATCCTTTAAAAAGTAAAAATGAATTTGAACCATACAATCTAAAAAGCCCTAGTAAAAACAGAACTGAAAATAAAAATTGGAGAATACTTATTGATAGAAATAACAGTAGGAAATGTGTAGTATGAGTACTTTTACTGGCTTCCCATTCTTTCAAAGACAGAGTAAAGAGCAGGCTTGCAAGAGGCTTGTTCTGCTCAGGTTATCTATTGCTACTAAGTAAACCAAATCCTTGTAAAAAGTGATTGGTTAATTTATGTTTACAGTTCCCTCAGCACCACGACTGACTAGGTTTAGTACAGATAATGAGAACTCGCTGTCTCAACTTTTCCTTTTCTTTTCCATAGGGGATGTTGTGTTTTCACACACACACAGTAACAGCAAGCCTGCTGGCGGGGAAAGGTCTGCTTTCAAGACAATGAAAAGGTCATGTAAGAAGGTGGTTTGCGGAGAATAAACTGAAGGGTAGCGAGAGCCAGAAGCGATCGCTGATTTGCAGTGGCACCCAGCAGATGACCGTCTATTACAAACACGCTCACATGTACACAGTTTGCCTCTTAACATGGCCAAATAAAGTCTACTTTGTTTTTAAAAGAACTGACCTTACAGCGATATAAACATTTGCACTATAAATTGCTCTCCAAGGCATGCGTGGACCTCCTGACAGAGACAACTGCAGTCTGTGTGTGTAATAACATGGTCCAAACGCAAAGGGCTGTGTGAAACTCCCAATACGCAAAACCCTTAGCACAGGGGAAAGCAGGGGCACCGATTCCAGGATGGCTCTTCCACATCACAGCTGAAGAACTATTTCAAAATAAGGTGCTAAGTGGGCCAAGAGCTGTGAAGAACACTTTTCAAGAATATAAACTACTCAGTCCTTTCCCATTTTGCAGAAAGGAAGAAAGGCTCAGTCTACAACACTGACCAAGCTCTGATAAATTTTAATAATAATAATAATAATAAT